ATTTAATTGCATTTAAATGACACCAGTTTCGTAATAAAACGTAGTATACAACTTTTTTTTGTTCTTTAATAGCTGGAAAATTCAATAGTGATAAACTATAACTGCAAATAATATTTTCCAATATTTTCTCCCACAACTTATACAATTCGTCATTGCAGGTTTTTATTTTATTTTTCTGTAATGAGAGAAGAATAAAATGCGCACGACCCAGGCCTTTATAATTTATTTAATTTTCCCGCGACATATCAACACGGTTAGACTTCTCAATTTCCCAAACACAGCCGTGATGACCGTGTTGCCTATATATCAGGATGAAAAGAAATATGAAAATTACGAAAATCGTACATTAACCAAAAATGAATATTGCCACATTTCTTTCAAGACCATTTTTGTTAAAGTAGTAAGAGTTTTTAATAATAAGTTGAATGACATTCAATTTTATAATATTAATAGTTAAAACATTTTGATTATGGCTGATACAATGAATTAGCCATTGTTTTCTGTTAAAGTAAACAATTGCGAAATTAAGATACAAGTCTAAAAAGATTTTTTTCTAATTGTAAATACTGTGTAATGAAGTAGGTTTTTAGCACTCTGTGTTTACCGCTTTAAGAGAACTACATCTAAAGGTTAAAAAATTTAAAATCCAAACCGTAAATGTTAGATTGTGGATGGTATAATTTGGTTTATATTGGCCAAACGAACAACTCTTTAAATCTATGAATTTATGAACAATTCAGTCAAAACAGTGATTTATTTAATGAAAGAAAAACACAGAAAACGTTACGTTTAGAAAAATCAAATATTAGTGACCATCCGTGGTTCAGGTCAAACAAATTCTCACGAAGAGACAGAGACAAACGAACGGATGGACACGAACCGAATGGTGTAATGCAAATTGATTTTTTATCTCGATAGCGATTCTATTACGAAGACATACGTTTTGCAATTGGATTCACAAAAGAATATTAATATCGCATAAAGGATCTACAACAGCTTACGGATATGTTCTGTAATTGCTTGCGATTGTGAAGCGCTAACAACCGGCCGACCGAACCGCGATCGACGAGTAACGGTAAGGATACTTCGACAGGTTACTTTCGTTCCTTCGTAAGGATATTGTTGTAAGTAGAAGTTATATTACAAAAACACACTCAAGGAAACAATAAAGGTATGCGTCCGAACGAAAATATTAGAATGAGCAGATATAGAAGAATTGGAACTCATAAAAAACAAATAGGAGTTGCGAAGTTAGGGGTCATTCATAAAGAACATCCGCCCGTATGGGGGGGAGGGGTCATCGAATTGTAACCATGTCGGACAATGGGTGGGTGGGGTATAGGACTTTTGTGGCGTCCTCAAATAACTGTTTAAATTTAGTTATAAATCATAATTTCACCAACAACTACAAATGAACATACTGTTTATAAGATAGTCTAAATGGGTTAACCTAATGCATAATAAAAAGCTGCATTTTATAAAAAATGCACCATAAACATATACAATGATTCTTAGTTCATTTCTTTAAAATTCGTTGATTGACTCCATCGGAAATCGTACCTATTCGACACTCAGCTCATATGCAATGATGTTCGTAATGTGTTTGTAACCACTTGGCACTAACTAATGTTATGTATACCTACATTTACAATGAGTATAAACAAACGTTGGATAGATCTNATACAAGAAAAATATCATATGAATTACAAAATAACAAGAAACTATCATTTACTTATATTTTCTGTGGAGGCGATTTTTTTTTTCCTCAACTGTATATTACATATATTACTATTATTACCGTTATGTATTACTAGGTATTACATTGATAAATTGAATAAATGATGTCTAAATTAAATTTTTAGTTATTGTTTTCTTTTCAAAATTATCATGGGGGCTATAATATGAAAGATGCTAAAAAGAGGCGATTTCGTTTTTTTTTGCTCTTCGCCATGGGGTAATATCAACTTACACAAAAATATTTTGGGGTAATGATTAAAAAAAGTTCCCTGACCGCTGGTATATACCTAGGCAAACAGCATACAGAAAATTTTCATTTATCCACTGTTTGCATTGCTACATTACAAAAATCAGTTTCATTTTTAAAATATTAAAGTTTAAACACATTACAAAGTTAATAATCGTCGACAGTTACGTTTATACCATTCATTTAATCAGTTAAAACTATTAATTTAAATCGTAGAAAGTAGGAACCATCTAAAAAAGTTGAATAAAAGAATTACCTTAACTGATTTAACCCGGAATATTTCATAGCTTCATTCCTTCATTTTCACACGAATTAATTAAAGTTTACTTGCACACTTACGCATTGTTCAATAAACGCATTTATCAAAGTCAAATGTTATTAGATGCATTAGAATAAAGTCTATAAAACACCCGAAACGCGTAAACCAAGAAATATTTCGTTTGCGATACCGACCAAACGCCACAAATTTTCTTCTAGATTGTTCGAGAAAGAAACGCCTTTATCGTGAAATGAATCATAAACGAACTTAACCGATAAAACGAGCACTAGTGTAATGAAGACGTATGCATATAAATAAATAAAAAGTCTTTCTATTCTCATATTTGTTTGACCTTTTATTTGACTTTGCGTGCTCGGTAAATCTATTTATAGATTTTAACCAGCATCAACAGGTATAAAATAAGTTAAATTTGAAAGAAAAATGGAAATTTGAAATACGATGGTGACTAATAAAAAGAAATCAGTTATAAATTTACAGAAACATCTGCACTTAGAAATTTACGTTTTAAACATAAAAATAACTTATAAATTATAATATAGAGTATGTAGTTATAATCGAAGACAATGAATATATTTGATTATGCATACATACATATGTGTTACCTAATAAAGGTACGCATTTATACAGGGTGAGGAGAAGATGTAAGGGGACACGGTTAAGTATGACAATTTTACGAGAGCGGATTACATATTTATGAAGGGTAGAACTTAATTTTTTGACTTGTAACTCGAAATTTTGAGTAGAATATTGATTTAAGCATCAGTATAAGAAGGAAGGTAGGCTTTCACGGCCAGAATCAATGGTACCGTAGAATTATGATTCGGGCTGAAGAATCGTGGTATAAAAATTAACTGTTACGTCCAGACGTTTCGTTGGCATCTGTGACTGAAATCTTCATTGTCCACGTTGTCAATGCAGTACCGTTGAAGATGTCAGCCGCAATTGCCGATGAAACATCTAGACTTAGCAATTCATTTATATGACCACGGCTTTTCAGCAGGAATCATAATTTTACCCATTAGTGTTAGTCGAAATATGGAGCTACAAGTCGAAATTTAAAAAAAAAATATGTTTGACCTTTCTGCATCTTCGTACACATTTGAAAAAATATTTGTCATAAAATTTCAAAAGAATTTCAAAGGAATATAGTACTTGTGACTATCGCTAAATATCTTATCTTTGTTTATTGAAAAATCATTCGAATGCTTGCCTTCGAGTCCTACCCTGGTTTTAATTTCGTTCAATCAACCCCTCCCAAAAAGATTCTTACACCAGTGGAAACCTTGTCAAAATTTGTATAATTGTTTTCCCCTAGACAAATTTTTCAGTCTCTCTCCAGTCTCTCAGAGTCTTTCAGCGTCTCTGAGAGCGTCTCTCACAATCTTTCACAGTCTCTCAGTTATTGCCTAGGTGTTTTTATGGATCTCTCATAGTCTCTGTATGAAAGACTCGAACGATAAAATTGTTAATTCAGAGATTCGAATCTCTCGTTCAGAGACTGGATACGAAATGAGGATCTCTCTATGAGCGGCTCGAGTCTCTCGTTCAGAGACGCTAAACATTTTTTTTGACAGTCTCTCGACAGTCTCTCTCAGCGGCACCAGAGACTCGATGAGAGATGGAGACTCAAGTCTCAGAGAGACTTTCAGAGACTCTGAGAGACTGAACATTTTTATCTCGGATCGCATAATAGGCAGAAAAAATTGTTTTCAGAAAAACTCATGATGTTACAATAATACCGTTGGTGGTAAATGTACAAGCTTCTAGATATTATATCTACTCCACACAAATCTGAAAACTTTACATGAAATTTTCCTCTGTCAGTTTAAGTTGAATTTGCATTTTATTGAGCGCATTTGACGAGATTGGAAGAAGTGGACGAGCAGGTCGGTCGTTTTTGAACGTGTTTTTCGGACACTGCGTGCGCCTTATATTGTTACACACCCATGGAGTTGGGAATAAGGGTCAGAGCGGTATCTCGGTATCGGGTCAACGGGTTCGACAGCACTTGTTTGTTTTAGGTTTCTGCTGTAATTACAGGTACGGGACGACGAGCGATTCCGCCCAGTGCATCAACACGTCCGCGAGTTAAGTGGCGTGACCGCTAAGTTGGACATGCGCTCGAAATATCGACATAAAAATTATATTACCTACCCAAAATGAATAAAGGCAAACGAAAAGCTAAAAATTAAGAGAAAACTAGAACATTATAAAAGCCGAGTAATAAAAAGAATAAAATTTTTTCTTTTTTCTTCCACATCTCACTTTCGGAATCGGATTCATCCTTTGAGATTTTTAATCATGACTCATGAGCTTCATCAATAAGGATTTAGACACTAAGTAATTATGCCAAATCTATTAACACCACCACTTTGTGGAAATCTTTAATGCTAATGTACAAAGCTTTTACAAAAACCCTTTTAATTTTTAACTGTTTAACGTTAACTTTTATGTTTATCTGCTTCTAATAATAGTAATCCTTGGACAAACGCCCTTCACAAATCAGTGGGTGCAATAATAAGCATCCGGCGACAATGTAACACTTGTGTAAATTGTGTTTATGGGGAATATTTTTATAATTTCCATATTACACATCATATCACACTATTTCGAAAACTTGGACAATTGTGCCTGCATTGAGTCAACAACTAATAAGTGTACTTATTATTTAAATGTGCCAACTATATAAAAGAAATATGTGCCACAAAAACAGATATTCTTCTGCAGTTATAGCGATCGAACATGTTTTCAAAAGTTTGCGTGTTTTTAGTGATTGCCAGTGCAGTTAATTCTGTAGCAGGTAATTCATTTTTAATTGTACAATATACGCATAAATGTGCAAAAAGTTATAAATAATATACCTAATGCAAGTGATGGTACAAATTTATGAAATCGGCATTCAAGCCCCTTGGTTTAATACCAAAAAACGGTTGTGTTTTTGTTAAATAAATATACGTCATATATTCAAAATAAAGGCCATTAACTGAAGTATCAAAACAAATTTAACGATAATTCAGATCAATTATTTAAGTACCCAAGTACAATTTTTAAACTCAGAAACCCACATAAACCTTGGTTTTAGGGCAAGGTTTTCCGGGTTCGGGCAGTGCTGGACCCCCACCTACAAGCGGCGGTGGAAACCCCGGAATAGGGACTAGTGGTCCCCCAAGCGGTGGTGGCTTTGGTAGCGCAGGTCGCCCAACAGGAAGCGGTGGTCAAAATTACGTATGCGTACCAATTGGTACCTGCTCTTCGTTCACCATTGACGTCCGTATCGTTACACCGGTATAAATCAAAAATATTTATAGTTACTACACGAAACCAATTCCGCCAATGATTTTATTTAAATATTTTCTATTTTGATTTAATTTTTATTCATTAAAAGGGCAACCAACAGCAAAATCCTTGTCCAGCCGGTCAAGAACCCTGCTATACCACTGGAAATAACCCTGGAAACCCATGTGGGTTAGGCACCACGCAGTGTGGTACACGACTGGCATCAGTAACATCAAATGCTGATGGGTTTTCCCAACGAGGGGCCTTCCCATGGCAGGCTTTCATAGTAAATCAGACAGGATACGCAGGAAGTGGAGTCCTAATTGATCCTTACCATGTTGTAACCGCAGCCCATAAAGTAGTGCAAAACCAGTGAGTAGCATTTAACTGTTCGTAATTCATGTCAGAATTTTGACAAAACAAAAATGAATCAGGAATAACCCCCGAAACATAGGGGTTTATATGGGAATCTGGGAATCAACCGACGTATCTACAGCTCAATACAGGGTGGTTAGCCGTGTGTCCATCCACCCCCAATATAACAGTGCCAGCCTCAGAAACGATATAGCTGTTTTGCGACTTGAAAACTGTTTCACACTAGGACAATCAAATTATATAAACACCGCTTGTCTACCAACTCAAGGCCAGAGTTTCGTCGGTCAAAAGTGAGTATCTATAGGTAACACTTATATTACTTAACACAAAATGGATTGCTGTTTTTCAGCTGTTTAGTTTCTGGATGGGGCGAAACAAGTTTCCGATTGAACGATGCTCCGACAATGCGCCAAAAACAAGTGACTGTGCCAATTGTTCCTTACGCTACATGTCGAGCTTCCTATGCTCAATCAAACCTTTTGGGAAATCGAGTGGATTTTTATTTGGACTCAGTTGGAGAAATATGCGCAGGGGGACAATCCATGAGAGACGCATGCACAGTAAGGACGAAATTTATAATATAATTTTTAAGGATGTTTGGGAGGTACAATCGGAGACAAGAGTACATAAAATTAGAAATTCGTGATTAATTAGGTTTTGCAGCATATCATGAGGTAAATAAATACTATCTATAGGTACTAAAAAAAAGTACCTATACGGTTTGAGAGAAAATTTGGAATTTGACCAAAAACTTTGAATAAAATAAGAAATAACGAATAATATGGAAAATTTTTAACTGACTTTTGGCAGTGAATATGCCTTGATTTCAACTTCGAAACAAAAAAATATTTAGTTTCAATCTCTATTAATAATGAGCGTAAAACTTTTTAATATGTTTAAATAATAATTAAAACTTTAAAATTGCATTTATTTCAGACAATTATAAATATTATCATTATATTATCAAGTAAAAACGAGATTTTCAGATAATTTTTCATTTTTTCCTCGATAACCATTTAGTGAATTTGAATAACCTTACGCTAAAGTGATTCTCCAGAGTTCAAGTTACTTATTATAAAAGTTTGAAATTTCTGGTAGCTTTTTTTCTGTTAATAAAAATAAATTTAATCTGTTCGGTTAACGAATCTCCATAAAATGACGTGTAAAATTACAATTTTTTAAAATTTCAATAACTTTTTAACGGTCTAGTGAATCGATTTGTAATTTTTACAGGAGTTTTAGAAGTGAATGAGGAACGTTCTTCCAAATTTTTATTTGTCTCGTAGCGTTTTGACATACCTCCCAAACATCCTTAAGGAAGTTGGAGAAATACACCGTTAAAGAAGTAATTGTACAAGAAATAAATATGAGACATGTTAATAAAAATAAATTTAATCTGTTCGGTTAACGAATCTTCATAAAATGACGTGTAAAATTACAATTTTTTAAAATTTCAATAACCTTTTAACGGTCTAGTGAATCGATTTGTAATTTTTACAGAAGTTTTAGAATTGAATGAGGAACGTTCTTCCAAATTTAAATTTGTCTCGTAGCATTTTGACATACCTCCCAAACATCCTTAAGCTACCTTTACCATTTAAGAAAAATGACACCAGTAACTCTAATTAGTCACAGGAAATCATGATTTAAGCTTAAAAAGCTTAATGTAGAAAATTATTTTAATAAAACCTGTACTCGTAAATAAGTATCTACCTATTTCTTTGATTACAACGAAAACCATTGAATTAAAACTAAACTTTTTCTTTAACATTTTACAATTACCACTGAAATGTATTTTTTTTTATTTTAGCAAGACGGTGGAGCGCCCCTTGTATGCCCAGTTAATGGACGATATACAGTGGCCGGCTTGGTTATATGGGGCAAAGGATGCGGAGCACCGGGAGTTTATGGTGTTTATACCAACGTCCCTAATTATGTTAACTGGATTCAAAATACAGTGAACACGCAGTAATTTTAATAATTTCATAAAAGTAATAAATGCAGATAGAAATAATAATAATAATAATATTAAAGCTTGAACATCAAATCATGTAACAATACGTTTATAATTTATGTAAAGAGAGAAAAGTAGAAATTTATTGTTCTATTAATCAAATAAAATTGTGTTCAAATTAAAAATTAAATTAATCACTGGAGAATAGATGAAATGCTAACCTGATATCAAGCTGAAACTACACACGCCGTATCTCGAAATTGAAATGACGTAGCAAATACTGTAAGGACTATAATTACTTTTATCCGTTTTGTCGGTAATCATTCTCAATGTAGCAACAAAATGACTGCAGATACACACACTGCACGTCTTTCAATATAAATATTATATATAAAAGAAATTATGAGTGCTGTCAACACAGGGCAAAGTAGTATTACGTAGTTAGTATCAGCAATTTCTT